GTGTGAGGTGAGACTAACGTAAGGGGTGTGATCGGGTTGCGGCCGTACACAATTTTGAATGACGTGCGTCCAGTGGTTTGGATTATTGATCTATTGTAGGCAAATTCGACTTGAGCGAGATTGAGATATTACTTATTAAAATTTTTCCCTATGAATCATTGAAGAAGATTACCAAGATTCTTATTAATTACTTCAGTCTGGCCATCTGTCTGAGGATTTGTTGCAGAACTAAATTAGAGTTTAGTGCCTAATTTGCTCAAGAGTGTCCGCCAGAAGTGGCTCAAAAATTTAACGTCCTGATCAAAAGTAATGGTCATGGGAATGTTGTGAAGCTGAAAGATTTCGCGAAAGTACAAAAGTAATGGTCCAGTAGCAGGCGACGAAATGCACCATCTTCGAGAAACGGTCAACTACTACCATGACAAAATCCTTATTTCTTTGTGTGCGTAGAAGTCCTATGACAGCCCATGCTGACATCAACTCGAGGTGCTTCAAGGACCAGTAAATGTGTGTACAATCCTGTATTTTGGCCACGTGTTTTGGCGATATGACAAACTTTACATTGTCAGACGTGTCACTCTACATCTTGTGTTAGTCGGGGCCAACAAAATGTTCTTTCACGAGTGAGAGTTTTATCTTTGCCAAAAGGGACGGCCAATCCACTACTGTGGTTCTCCTGGATGATAGCTTCGCATAGAGAACATTGAGGAATGCAAACTTGTTGTGGCGGAACAATTTGTCGTTTTCTTTGTAGAGCTGCCCATGAGTTTTCTTCCTACACTGTTCTCAGATTTCCTGGAAGTCTACATCTATCTTGTATAAGCCTTTGATAACTTCAAAGTCTATCACGTGCTTCTGCAAGGATGTGATTAGGAGGTTACGACGACTTAGAGCGTTCGTGACACTATTTTGATTTCCGGCTTTGTGTTTGAGTAGGAGCTGGAAGGACGCTAAAAATTCTACATAGGTAGCGTGACCCCCTTTGAGTTTATTCTCACTTTTTAAAAATTTTAGAGCTTCATGATCCGTGAAGTGGGTAAACTCGGTGTGAGTAGGTAATGACTCTAGTGTTTTAGAGCCTAACAATGATATAAAATTCTTCGTCATAGGTGGAATATCTTCATCCAGTCTCATTTAGTTTTTAACTAAAATAGGCCATGAGGTGACCACCTTTACTTAGCATAGCGCCAATGCTTACGTCGGAAGCGTCACACTCAATCTCGAATGGTTGGTTGAAATCAAGTAAGACAAGAACTGTGGCTTGAGTGATATTTTCCTTCAATATGTCGAAGTTGGTATGGGTTGTGACCGTCAATGTGAATTCTTTCCGTTTCAACAACTTTGTGACGGGTTCGATGATAGTGCTAAAGTTGCAAACAAATTTTCAATGGAAGAAGGTTAGCCCTAAAAATTTTCGAAGCTCGGTAAAGGATTGCAGTGCGGTCCACAGCTTACGGTTATTTGTTGGGTCCATTTGTATTCCCGTGCTAGACACAATGTAGCCCCAAAAATCAGATTTAGTTTGAGGTAGTGACACTTCTTGGGGCGAGCGTACAGTTGTTCGGATTCTAAGACCTCGAATACCGCTCGTAGGTGTTGCAAGTGGTCTTTTTTGGGATTTATTATAAACCAAAATATCATCGAAACACCATGAATTTTCCAATATGCACTCTAAAGAGTTGATTCATTAGCTGCATGAAGGTGTTGGGTGAGTTGGACAGGCCGAAAGAAATTACTGTCTATTCATAAAGGCTATCTCGTGTCTTGAAGGCAGCCTTCCACTCGTTTACTGATCGCATTATGATCTTATGATAAGCACTCCGTAGGTCAATTTTTGAGAAATCGGTGGCGCCGTATATTTAATCTAAGAGATCGTCGAGTTGTGTTATTGGAAAGTGATATTTGATTTTAACTTTGTTGATGACACGACTGTCAATGCACATCCATTAGGAGTCATCTTTCTTGGGTACGATGAGAGCGGGGACAATACATGAGCTGGTTTTTTCGTGTACTAATACTCTCTTAACAAGATCTTCCACATAAAGTTGGAGTTCCTTGTACTGTGGGTCGTAATCGGTAGGCGGGTCTGTTTGGTAGAACCGACCCTGGTGTGAGATTGATGGCATGTTGGATGTCTCGTAGTGGAGGTAATGCGTCTGGGAGATCGCATTGGAATGTGTGTAGGAGTGGTTTAAGTTGTCTGAGTATCTTATTATCCTTGTTAGTACCTTCTAGGAGGATCAAAGCTAGAGCTATCAGTGTGTTCCGAACTGATTGCAGGAAGGTGGCCCACAAGATTAATGCGTCTTCGGTTTCGATCGTGGCCCTCTCATCTTTTACAGGTGATAAAATGATATGTTTTTCATCATTCTTGAATGTTTAGATGTTTTTGAAGCTGCCGTGCTGTGTTTTTTTGGTCAAATTGCCATGGTCTTCCTAGGAGAATTTGTCATGCTTCCATTGTGACTACATCACCTCAAACTTGCTCTTGTAGTTGATTGCCGACGGAGAATTCGACTAAGCATTGTTGATCGACACAAATCTCGTTCTCTTTTTGATCTAGGTGAGAGAGTAGGATCGTAGATGTTTTTGTGTGGCTAAATCTAACTTCTTGAACATTAGGGTGGATACGACGTTTTCACAACTACTGCCATTGATGATTAAATTGCAGATTTTGCCTTTTCCCGTGCATGTAGTACGAATGATGCTGTGTCGTAGCCATGAAGGGTCTCTTTCGGGTTCTGATTGGAGGACCCTCCGCATGACCAATAGTTCGCCTTCATCACTGGGGAAGGGAAGTGCTTTTTCCGAACCATCCTTAGATTGAGCTTCCTCGATTTTATCGATGACTCCTTTAGTAAAAGAGACAATGCATGTGGTGGGGCAATTGGCGTAGATTTTGTCGTACCCGTGGTATTTAATACATTTTCATGTAGGAACTGTCATAGAGGAACTTACCCTTTTGAGTTTCGTGATGCTCAGGGTGGTTTTCGTGCCTCCTGGTAGTGACCAACCAGCTTCTGACGTGGTCTTGGAGATAGATGTGATTTGAGGTGATGGTTTGAATGCCGATAGCTGTCGGAAGGAGTTTTGAGAATTGGCTTCCTTTTGTTGTTCTACTTTGAATGTGAGAGTCTGGACATCGTTTAGTGTCTAATATGGCTGAAGTTGTACAATGTTGCTAATTACGGGTTTTAAACTCTCTGAAATAGCGGGCGATTGTGTGCTCCTTTTGTTCGATCAGTTCAAATTGTGTTGTGAATTCCTCGAACGACAGGTCGCACGACTGTAGGTTATGGAGCCGGAGGAACATCCTGACTACAGTGGGGGCGACATGTTTTTTTTAATTTTTTTTTTTATGCATTGTCTTCTTTATTTGACCCACTTAGTGACTTGTCGTCCCCATCACATTGTCGTTGCCGTTGCAAGTTGTCCCACCATAATGACGCGCTTTTCTTTACTTTGATAGCAACAAGCATAACCTGTTTGTCCTTGGGTACCTCCTTGTAATCAAAGATACGTTTGATCACTTGCAACTAGTCGATGAAGTCGTTGAGGTCTGCTTCTGTCGAATTCCGGTAGGTTTGTTTTAATGTTGATATTCTGATGGGTGCCGAAAATGAGTTCCTTGTGTGGTCTCCTGCGATAGTGAATGCTAAAGCGGCTTGGGCGATATTCGTCATCACTGACGTTATTGCAGTGAAATGGATTTAGATCGTCGTCACGGTCTCCTATTCGACTCTTGATGTCACAGCCGAGAATAGGTATTTTCAGGTCCTGTCATTCAGCTCAGTTAATCGTTGTTGTAAGAGACAAATCTCTCTTTGTCTTCTTTCCGGGTTGAGTGTGGTGGAGGAGTCGGCGACGACTAGAGGGGAGTCAGATGAATCTTCAATGCCGAGGAGTTGCGGAGAGCCAGTTACAGATGGTTAGCGGAGGTAGGAGGGGTGCTGGACGATCCGAATGGTGCGGCAGCCTACTGGGGAAGGGCTGGGAGGCAAGACAGACTATTTTGGGGGGCTTAGAGGCATGGCCTTCTGCTGGGGGACATCTGGGAGGTGCGACAGAGAAAGGAGGAGATCTAGGGAGTGGTGCAACATTAGGGTAAAGGAGTCGTGGCTTGCGGGACTGCTGGTGGAAGCCTAGCGGGAGGTCGAACAACTCGCTGGAGGAACTGAGAGGGCGGTAGTGACAAGGGGAGATGTCAAGTGGAAGTAGTGGAGTGGAGATCCACACCACATTGGTGGGATACAGCCGTAGCACCACTCCACTGAAGGATATAACCTCTAGCGAGGGAACATGAGGAAGAATACCTAAAATCAGAAAACCAACCACTGATTAATTCCTAAGCAAAAACACATAAATAGAGAGTAAACTAGTAGCTAGCAATGGCAAGATCTGAGAAAGGAAGATGAGGAAATGGTAGGAAATGAAAAGAGGGATTGCAACAGCTAGGGGGAGGAAGGGGCGCTGCAACGGGTAGGAAGAGGCAGAAGATTAGGGCATGAGAAAGAAATGATCGCGGAAGAGGAGTGGGATCGGGAGATTTAAGTGGATTTGAATTGTCCCGGTCCAACAGGGACGCTGGACTGGTTGAATATGCCGCGCCTGCGGGCGTGAATTGCTCGCGGGTGTGAATGGTCCCGTGTCAGTCAGTTTCTCTAATGATATTTCCTTTGTATTTTAAAAGTTAACTGACCTGTCTTTTCATCATTATGCTGGCTACTTTGAGCTGTCTCTGAATTAATTTGGAAAATAATTTGCACTAGAGTAAACTTATATTTAACAGAATGTAAAACAGAAACCATGCTAAATTGATTCTAGAAGGTTATATTTCTGTTCTTGTTAAATTATGTATGTTAGATTTGCTCAGGAAAATTCGTTTACTGCTTGGTTACAATGAAAAGTAAGCGCAAAAAGGGATATGTTCTCCAACTTTTCTGTAAGTGACACCACTACATTTTTTCTACAGGGCAGCTGTTGGACAACCGAGATTACTGGTTCCAGTGGCTATTGTTATGATATATAATCGGTGGAATGAGTAAGCGTATTTCTGTCTTTAAACTTCCACTCATAACTATCCTTCTATTTTCAATGTTATCAAGTTGCTTTCTGGAACTTGTAGTTATTTTACCATATTTTATCTAGTAAACTGTCAGAATAGTCCCCCTTACATGCAATCATTTTAGTCTCGGAATTTATAAAAATATTAAATTTGGCCCCACACTATTTTCTTATGGGCGAAATTAGTCCTCATTGGGACTATTTTATCTCATATTATAAAAGTCCCGGGACTAAATTGTCACTTATATAAATTTTGAGATTAAAATGACCCCTAAAGGCGTGCACACATCAAAACATTGTTGTAATCTGTCTCCAAGCAGTTTTTTTACATGTATTTACATTTTGTATTTACAAGAACACCCTTCATTGTTCCTTCCATTCCAAATCTATTCAAAATGAAAATTCTCTGTATCTGTCCCTCCACTGAATTTCTGTATTCGTACCTGCTGTTGCTCACATATCCTTTGCATATTTTGCATTCAAGAATAGGTAGGTAGGTAATTATATAGATTAATACTGGTCTTTATGGATATAATTATTTTGCACGTGCTTCTATTTTGATACAGAATACTAGTTCCAGATCATGGGTTCGTACACTTGGAATTGATACCCATGCTTGTTGGATTCTTCACCTATAAAGTTGCCACTTTTGCTCAGGCTATTCAAGATTCCATCACTTCGGTTGATGAGAAAAGCTAATTCTAAGCTTTCGTTATCTTCTATTGTGCATATTATACAATCATTCTTGCATTTTGTTCTCTTAAAGATGAGAATCTTTCTGGATTTGAGGACATATTTAATTGTAATTTTTTTTTGTTGGTATTCGGTAAAGCCTGTTTTCATCCTTTAGTCTTGATTCTGTCTGTAGGTTTAGGCCCATAGTCTTTATTTTTCTTGTTCCAAAGGATAAATTGCCTTGATACATGCATGTTTCATAAGCTCCTAATATTTATATATTAGATTGTTTGTTATTGTCGGGTCCCAAGTCTTAGATGCGAGTGGAGGGCTGTGTTAGGTAGTTGATAATCAATGTGAAGTTTTTTTTGAAAAATATCTTGACGTGAATCATTTAAATTGAAGATCAAAGAGATTATCTTTAGATGATTTGGTCGCATTAGATGCCTTCCATCTAATGATTCGGTTAGGAAAGATATTTTAGATTAAATTTATGTTAAGAAAGATAGAGGTAGGCCTAAAATGACTCAGGCATGATGTATAAAAAAATGATCTTAATGTATTAGAGTTAAATGAAAGTATGACACTCAATAGGACGATGGAGAAAAATGATTCACGTAGTTGATCTCATGTATTGGGACGATAAAGGCTTGTTGTTTTGTATTCTTTTATACAACAATTATGTGTGCGTGTTTATAGCTAATGATTTTTTTTTCCAATAAAACGAGTTAATATAGATGTTATTTATATTTATATTATAGATTTAAAAAAAAATCCTAGATGAGGCCAGAGAGACAAGCAATATTTCCAATCTTGAGACTTGTTTTATTGAATTAGGACAAGTTTTTCTTTTTACAGATAAGCTCTTTAAAAGTCAATAAATCACTTTTTAATGTAGCTTTTATCAAATGGCCCTTCACTATGTTTTTAGTCCTTTCAAGTCACCAAAGGACAAAGTGCATGGAAACAAGGCTAAATTCGAAGAATTTATGAAGTTTATCTAATGAGTAATGACAATGACCTTGTTCGGAAAGAAAAAAAAAGGAATATATGAAATGCTCTAAAATTTTTTTATTGTTTTCTAAATTTTTATATGGTGGAAAGGTAGTTGTTGTAACTATATGTACTAAAGTATGATTATTTGAAAAGCAATTTTTTTTAAAGGAATTTTTTTTTAAAATAATTTCTTCATCACATTTTTATAATTGTCTTCACAAAAAACTTGTAGTCAACTCAAACAGCCTAGTAATTCTCATTCATATTACCATTGAGCTTGTTGCATGCAAGAGATCCAGTAGTTAGATTGTTAGAGGGAGAAATAATTAAGGGCCAATAACATAAATATTATATGTCAGACACCTAAATCTTTATTTTTACATTCATGCCATTCGAACCATTAACGTCACATCAAAATTATTACATTAACTATTTTTTTTTAAAAGTGAAATACACATTTCAAGCACAATTTTATAACACTAAGATGTTATAATTATAAATACCATGCTTTGTGTTAGAAATATAAATATATAATAATTGTTGAACCAAATTTGTCCTGTGAGGCATGCCCAATGATTAGAGCGGTAGGAACCAGAGATGAGAGAAAGAGAGAGGATTTCAGGATGTTAAATCCAAATTTACTCCATGAGATATGCCCAAAAATCAGAGCGGTAGAAATCAGAGATGAGAGAAAGAGATATAAGAGGGCACACAAAAACTGGCCCCATAGGAGCAAACTGGGGTATTTTCAGGTTCTGTGACCTATTTTTTACATATAGAGAATAGAGGTTACAAGAGGGAATGAGAGGGAGTTCTTCTTATGGAGTATGATTCTATAGAAAAGAGCCAAAAGCTTATTTTTACTAGTAATGGTCCCCTATTTATAGAAGCTAAGAGGCCATAAATTGAAAAAAAATACATTTATGTCTCTGCTTTAATAGAGGTTGTCATTTGTCATGCTTTTTCGTATTTGTAACTGATTTTGACATCTTTTTGTGTATATGAACCATTTGGTCTGCAGTTCCTCAAGTCCATCGGCTATCTTGTTTGGGTATTGGTCGACCTTCATTCCGAGAAGCAAGTCGAATTTGAGAGCGGCAGTCCGTCGACCTTAGGGTGGTCCATCGACTTGCCTGTTCCTTGTTTATTTTTGGAGATCTTTAGGGGAGTTGTTGAGAGAGTCTTACGTGATACTTGTGATATTGCTGGGGTTATTAGACCTTTGTTCAGTTGTAGAGAGCTTGTTTGTTCTTTGTTGGCCTAGGTGGACCTTCGGTCGGTCGTCATTCTTTTGGTTAGTTTTTTTGTGTAATTCTTCAGCTAGCCAAATTTATGATCTCAATTTCTCAACATTTGATTAAAGAAAGGCCGGCGGAGTAAATTATGTGTTTTTCTTAATGCAACAATATCAGGATTGCAAACATTAAGGGACTCGTCCACATAAAAAATAGCCACTTTTTATAGAAAATAGGCAAAGGAAAGAAATCTCCTCGTAATTTGTGGTACCTTAATTTAAGTTTCTTTCCTGTCAAGTTAATAAAGGCAATAGGTATGACACATTGTATGTGATGAAAGCAGTTATGACATTGTTGGAGGTGGCCATATTATAATCTTTACTTGCTATTTAAGTTCCGTTAGAGATAACTATGGCGTATGTCTGGCTCTGGATGTTATGTGCCTCCCATTCCAACCATTACACATTCAATAATGAAGAAAAACACACATTTCCATTCGACATCATAGTTTAAGCAGAACTATTTACCAATATCACATTAAAAGATTTTTTTATTTTTTATTTTTCAAAAGATTGGCCAGAGGCTGTGATACGAGGCCCCAACCAACCTCATGTGTGAAACTGCTCGATCACGCACATTTGTGGGCTCGAATTTGTGACCTCAGGGGACTTAGAACTAGGGCTGTCAAAAAAGCTCGTTGTTCGCGAACAGTTCGTGTTCGGTTCGTCAATGAATTCGTGTTCGATTCGTTCGATAAGTAAACAAGACAAACGCGAACAAATTTTTTTCGTTCGGTTAGTTAAACGAACCAAACACGAACAGTGATGCGTTCGTTCGTGTTCGAATCATTATTGTTTGAAATATAAAATAATATAAAATAATTATATATAAAAAATTTATTATATTTTAAAACATTAAATTTTATAAATTATAATATATAATAAAATAATAATAATAATATATTAATATACTATAGTAGTAATATACTAATATAGATATTGTATATTTATATAATATAAGTTATATAATTAATATATAATATTATTTTTATATATTAATATTAGAGATGACAAACTAGCTCGTCGTTCGCGAACAGCTTGTGTTCGGTTCGTGTTCGGCTCGTTCGTTAAGAAACGAACACGAGCTTATTTCAAACAAACTAACTTTTAAACAAACCGAACACGAACACAAGCTTTGTTCGTTCGTGTTCGATTCGTTTACACCCCTACTTAGAACTGACTACGCAGATGTCAACTAAAGAGTCATGTCGAGCGACACTACCTTAAAAAAACCTTAAATATATAGAAATAAAAAATAAGTAGAATGTCAAAAGGGGGCTAATATAATCATTCCTTCTAAAAAGTGATGTGTCATGAACAAATGGTTATCATGAGTCGTGAATCTCGATGTATTTTGAGCTAGAAATGTTCAAAATTTTAATTCAAGATCATTCGAGTCTCGTTTTCAATGAATTTATAGTTGAACTGGGGTCTCAATAAGATGAAGTTAATGGTGTTGAAAGTGATCCATCCGAGCCCAAATAAGTCTAAGTTAAATACTTGCAGCATAATCAAACGTTTTGGTACATTATTGAAAGGTTAAATGATCTCAAAATTTGTCATTATTACATTCAAATTTTGTGCTTCGCCAAGGGAATCCAACATGCCCAATATCTTTCAATTTTGATTTAATTAAGGTACATAAATGCTAAAAAAATTCATGAGATCAAACAAATCAATATGAACAATCTGATAAAATGTTGGTAGATTGATCAAATTTATGAAATTGCCCATCAGAAAAACTATAAACAGACCCCCACTTCTTCACATGAAGAGGAGAGGAAAATAGAAGACTGAGTTGACCACCAAAACTAAACTCTTAAAGTCTCACCAGCTATCAACGATCACCTCAAATCCCGGCCGACCACCAGATTTACTACAAAAATGTCACCATTAACCATCATAGGTCATCATTCTGAAAAACTCCAAGCATTTATATTTGTTGAGTTATTTCAAAGTAGTTGCGATTTTAACATTATCTTGCAATCTTATTTTCCATAAAGTGAAGAGTGGGCCTCTATACTTCTTATTACATATTGGATTAATTTAAGTGAGTTATATTACATGATCATTTTTCTTTTTCAGGCTTTTTCCACGTAATAAATTTTGGTGTTACTCCCACGATTTTTATTTTATTTGTGTGAGTTGAATCTTTATGAAATACTAAAACCTTAAATTATTACTCAACGATAGCAATATTTCTACCACATAATAATAGTTGAGGATTGTTTCAGCCCATGTTAAAAAATTTGGGGACTAAATTTACATTATCATACTTTGAGACTAAAATAATGGATCATGTGTGAAAGATATATGGTTGGCACAATAGGCTAACAGGCTAACAAAAGCTTCAAGCTAATTTTAGTTTTGTAATTAACATAAAGGACTAATATTTATATTAACTCTAAATAAAATAATCAAAGCATCTACTCATTATCACCTTTTTATGCTGTCGGCGGGGATAAGGTGCGTGTGTGTGTATCTTTAAATTTAATTTAATATACATATAAATTTGGATTTTAGAAAAATCGTGTTTTAATTTTGAAAAAAAAGTAATATTTTAATTTTTAAAAATACTAGACCGAACTGATCTCATATAGACAATAATTTAAATGATCGAGCACAACACCGCAATAATTTAAAATAGTGTTTCAATCATTGCTCTTCTGCCGCTGTCGACCATCACTATTATCCCCCGCTCCTCTCCCCATGTCATCAAGAATCCTTGCTAGCTAATATCATATCTCAAATATTGATGTAACATATAATGATGTATTAAAGATTTGATGATAACTTATGGTCTCCGTAGTAGTTGATCACCTCACACTTACCACCTTTGACCACTGTTGG